GGATTTTCTTTTCTACTGTCTTATTGAGGCTCAATATCAAGAAGACAAAGATTCTCATCATTGGAGCAATTGGCAGTGTCAGGTTGCATGGTGGAGATATTGAGATTGTTCACAGCGTTAGTCTGCTTGACTCCATAGTCAACAGTCTTGGCACCTGCAGCTAGGAAATTAAAAGATGTATTGTGATGAGAAAGTCTGCTGTTAGGGACCTCTCGAAAGTACTGAAGAGCAATGATGTCTCTCTGGAGACTAAGGTGTGTCTGATACAGTCCATGGTCTTTGCAATCACTTGTTATGCATCAGAGAGTTGGATAGTGACTAAGGAGGACATAAGGAGAATTGTTGCCTTTGAGCTGTGGTGCTGGAGAGGAGTATTGAATATACCATGGACTGCTAAGAAAACAAACAGATTCATCCTGGAGAGGATTAATCCGGGTGGCTCCTTGGAGGCAAGGATTCTGAGGCTTCGTCTGACATACTTTGGTCATGTTGTAAGGAGAGACTGGTCCTTGGAAAAGGACATCATGCTTGGGAGGGTGGAGGGCAGGCGCAGGAGGGGAAGGCCTTCTATGAGGTGGATTGATTCAGTGACTGGGATAATCGGGATGGGTGTGTCAGAGACAGTGAGATTTGCACAGGATAGAGCAGAGTTTAGGGCTGTTGTACATAGGGTCATTATGAGTCACAATGAGTCACAAGCGACTGGATGGCACATAACAATAACAACAGCACCACTGTCATATTGTTTGCACATAGTGGCAGTTTTACTACCTCTTTTCCTATTTGGAAACCTTGTATTTCCTTCTCTTTTTCTTACTACTTCTAGAAAGTTCTTCCAATACAGTATTATTCAGTGGTAACAGTGGGTATCTTTTTCTGGTTCCGGTTCTCCGAATACCTTTAATCATTCTCCATTGGGAATGATGTTGGCTCTTGGTTTTGAGTATATAGTTTTGTCAGCATATACTCAAATTGAAGAATTTCCGTTGTATTCCTGTTTCGTTGAGTGTTTTTATCAGGATGTGGGATTTCACAGAATGCCTTTTTTAAAATCAGTTGATGAGATCATATGGTTCTTGTTTTTTGCTTTGTTAATGTGATTTAATTATGTTGATTGTTTTTCTCATGTTAAACCATTCTCGAATACCTGTTATGAAGCTTAGTTAGTCATAATTAATTTTTTAATATAATCTTGGCCAGGATTTCAATTAGTATTTTTGTGTGTGTGCGTGTATGTTCATATGAGATAATGGTCTATACTTTTCTTTTTTTTGATGCTATCTTTTCCTTTTTTTTTTTTTTTAGGGTTATGCTTGCTTCATAGAATGACTCTGACAGTATTCTTTTTTTAATTTTTTAAAATAACTTAAGTAGAATTAGTGATAATTTGTCCCTGAAAATTGGTTAGTGATAATTTGTCCCTGAAAATTGGTAGAATTCGCTCAAAGCTCTCTGGGCCAGGACTTTTTTTTTTCTGGGGGATGGTGGGTACTAGGGGGTGGAGTCTTTTAATGACCTGCTGAGTTTCTTCTTTTGTGATAGGTCTATTCATGTGATACATAGTCTGCCTGTCACTCTGGGTAAAGTGTAGGTTTCTAGGAATTTGTCCATTTTCTCTAGGTTTCTAAATTTATCAGAGTATGTTGTTGTTGTTGTTAAGTGCCATCAACCCTGCCCTATCCTGTTTCCTCATTATCATCTCAGATGCACTAGAGCCCATTGCTAAAGTCTCCCTATCAATCCATCTCATTGAGGGTCTTCCTCTCCTTTGTAGACCCTCCATCTTTCCAAGCATTCTGTTCCTTTCCATAGAATAACCTTACCTAGCTACACGTGTTCAAAGTATGAAAGACAATGCTTTTCCATCTTTGCTGCCATGGTTCACTATGGCTGGACTTTTTCCAAGATATATTTGTTTGTTCTTTTGGCAATCCATGGGATATTCAGTACACTTCTTCAACACTACAACTCAGTCAACATCAGTTCTTCTGTCATCCTTATTCATTGTCCAGTTCTCTAATGCATACCATTGACTGAGAAGACTATTGCCTGAATCAAGCACACACACTTTAGTCTTCAGACTGACTTAGCTTTTCATAATACTTTTGTTATTGTCATTTTATTTTCAGCTGATTCTTTTATGGTACCACCTGTTTCATTTTTTATTGGAGTTATTTATGTCTTGTCTTTTCTTTTGTTTAACTTTTTCCAGTGGTTTGTTTATTGACCTTTTCAAAGAACCAACTCCTGGTTCTTGTTGTTCGTTTGAGTTCTTTTTCTGATTTCAGTCCCATTGATTGCAGCCCTTATTCTTATAATTTCCTTTCTTCTAGAGATAGGGGGATTAGCTTGTTCTTTTTCTATTTGCTGGAAGTGTTAAGTGATTTCTTTTTCTTCTTTTTTCTTTTTTTTGTGTGTCAGCCTACAGATGTGAACCCTCTGAGGACTGCCATAGCTATATGCCAGGGTTTTTGATATTTTGTATTTTCATTTGTTTTGAGAGACTTATTATTCCATTCTTTTTTATTTCTTTTCTTAATTATCTTCCTTGTGCGTGTCTTTTAATCTTTTATCCTTTTGGTTTATGGTATTATGATCTATGAAGGTTCTTTGTATTTTTATTATTTCAGTGCAATTCCAATACTGATAAAAAATTCATTCTTTAAGGAGATAGAAAAGCTTATTTACAATTTCATTTGGAATGGAAAGAGAGCCAGAATAAGCAAAGCTCATCTGAAAAACAAAGTTAAGTAGAAGGCATCTCACTACCAGATGCCAGAACCTCTACTGCACAGAAAATCATAATAACATGTATTGGTACGTAGATATTTAGATCAATGGAGCAGAATCAAGAATCCAGAAATCACCCCATCGGCCTGATATTTGAGAAGATAATAAAACCCATTAAATAAGAAAATAACATTTTTAACACATGGTGCTGACAAAACTGAACATCAACCTGCAGGAAACTGAGATGGGACCCACATCTCACAACATGCAAGAAAAAAAAGCTCAGAATCAATCTTCTGATGTTTTGACTGCTGTTACCATGGGCATTGATTGTGGAACCAAGTAAAATTAAATCATGAGCAACGTCAGTATTTCCTCTGTCCAGCTTGAGTTGGCTATTGGTCAATTGGCAAGGGTTTTTGTTTTCTTGAGATTGAGATGTAATCCATATTGTAATCCATATCCATAGTCTTTGATCTTTTGCAGTAAGTGTTTCAAGTCCTCTTTACTTTCAGCAGGCAAGTTTGTGCTACCAGCATAATACGGATTATGAATTTTCTTCCAATATTGATTCCATATTCTTCTTCAGAATGTCCAGCTTCTCAGATTATTTGCTTAGCATGTAGAATGAGAAGTTATGGAGAAAAGATATAGCCCTGGTCAGACATAGCTTTCCTGATTTCAAATCATGTATTCACTTGTTCTATACAAACAACTTCTTGGTCTAGGTATATCTTTAAAATATAATGAACTGCAATTTCCAAATGCATTAGAATATTGCATATTTGTGAATTGTTATTCTTAACTGTACTTACTTTAGTTTAGATTGAGGCAAGTGAGAAATTAAACAAATTGGTATAAGTTTTTTAACTAATGATGTAAATATTTACGTTTAATATTTTTATGGGAATTTTAAATTATAATCATTTATGTGTCCTTTCTTTAGATTGGTCAGTTGGCTTTTAAAGGAATGAAAAGACTCAATAGGATCCAGTCAATAGTCTTTGAAACTGCCTATAACACCAATGAGAATATGCTGATTTGTGCTCCAACGGGAGCTGGTAAGACCAACATTGCAATGCTAACGATACTGCATGAAATTCGCCAACATCTTGAACAAGGCATTATCAAAAAGAATGAATTTAAGGTAGGAAACTGAGAAGCTGGGTAACAACTTTTTAAATTGCAAAGTAAGAATGTAGCAATTGAATATAATATGAAATATGAACCTTTTTAAGAGTATTGTATTTGAAATCATGTAAAGAATGCTGCTTGATTTATTTCATCACTATCAAGGCAATCCCTATTTGTGTTATGAAAATCTTATTAGCTCAGTGGAAAGCAGTGAAATGCATTTATCTTTGAAACAGAACCATTTTCTAAGTAATGAGGCTGTATAAACAAATTGCATTGTTCTTTAAACAGCTGCACACTTATCTAACAAAGATAAGTAGTTTCCATATATCAATATTAAAATTTTTTTTCCCTCACAGTAGCTGGAATCATATTTCACAATAAATTGTGACTTCTGTTGGCTACTGTTAAACAAATGACACTGTAGTTTTTACTCATTTGTCAAGTTAAGTTTCTTTGTTACAGGTTGTTTATGTCGCTCCAATGAAAGCCTTGGCAGCAGAAATGACAGGCTACTTCAGCAAACGTCTAGAGCCACTGGGCATCATTGTGAAAGAATTGACTGGAGATATGCAGCTATCAAAATCTGAAATTTTACGAACTCAGGTATGCTGTTAGCTCTTTCCTTTAGTGTCATTCTTAATTGTGAAAATCGTTATATAAGTAACATAGATAATAAGACTGAATTATTTTATTTGTACTATTTCTTTTTCTGCTCTACAAAAAATGGGCTGATACTTTGTTTTATGGTATTACTTCTTACTTCTGTCATTTTTGGAGTGTCTTGGATATTCTATTTGCAGATTTTAAGTCTACTGTTGCTGTTGTTGATATATGTTTTAGAGTCACTTACAACTTATAGCAACCGTATGTACAGCAGCTATGAATCCTGCTTCATTGTCTTTGACTCACCTACCTCCATTACCCCAGTCACTGAGTCAGTCCATCTCATCCACGGTATTATTCTCTTGAGCTGTCTCTCCTCCCTTCCAAGCATGATGTGCTTCTCCAAGGACTGGTCCCTCCTTGCAATATGCCTAAAGTATGTCAGATGGAGCTTCAAAATCCTTGCCTTCAGGGAGCAGCCTGGCTTCACCCTCTCCAGAACGAACCTGTTTGTTCTCTTAGCAGTCTATGGTATATTTAAGGCTCTTCTCCAGCACCACAACTGAAAGGCATCAATTCTTCTCATATCATCCTCAGTCACTGTCCATATTTCTGATACATAGCATCAGAATTCTGAAGACCCTGGTCTGGACCAGGTGTTAGTCTTTAGACTGACATCTTTGCTGTTCTGTACTCTGGAGAGGTCCTTGACAGATTTTCTCAGTGCAGTTTGTCTTTTTATTTCCTGGCTGCCGATAACAAGAATGTCGATTGTGGGGTTGAGCAAGCTGAAAATCTTAACAATCTCAATCTCTTCACCGTCTGTTATGATGCTGCCAGTTGGCCTAGTGGTGACAATCTTTTTTTTCTTTAGCTTCAATCTATCTTGATTGTGTGCTTGACCTTGTGCACCAAATGCTTAGTTTCAGTAAGCAAGGTTGTGTCATCTGCATAACACAGGTTGTTGATAGTAAATGTTTTTCTTCGAAAGGAATGGGAAATGAGGCTGTAGATGACACCACTATTAATTTTCAAAAATATCTCACAGTCTACACAGTTAGTTAAGAGTACTTTAATGTCTCTTTTACTTTTCCAAGAGGGTAGTGTACAAGGGGGGAGAGTTGGTAGGGGAGAAAAGTGCAACCGTCAATGAATGGAAATCCAAAGTCTGTAAATTTTCATGGAAATTAATAATGAATTTTTAAAAAGAGTAGTTTAATGTCAAAAGAGTTTTATGGTTGTTTTGTGCCATCTAGTCAGTATAATTCATAGTGACCCTATAAACCATAGATCCTTTCCCTATTCTGACCCATTCGTCAGCATGATCTCCACCATGTTTGATCCCCTTGTTATAGGCACTATGTCAATCCATCTTGTTTAGAATCTTCCTTTCTTTCTCTGACCCTTCACCTTTTGCAGCAAGATGTCTTTTTTCCTCCAAGAACTAGTCCCATGTCCAAAGTATGTAAGAAGAAGTTCCCTCATCTTTACCTTTTAAGAACATTTTCACTGCAGTTTCCTGCAGACAGATTTGTTTGCTCTTTTGGCTGTCCATAGGGTATTCAGAATTCTTTCCCAAAAATTCAAAGGCATTGATTCTTACTTGATCATCCATATTCATTGTCTAACTTTCATAAGCATGCAATGCAATTGAAAATATTGTGGCTTGGATCAGCCATAGCTTTCTCTGTAAACTAACATTTTTGTTCTTTAACATTTTGGAGAAATAGTTTATAGCATATTTTCCCAAAGCAACATATCTTTTGATTTCTTGACTACCGCTACCTGTTCATCTCTTACTTCGGCATTTCTTCCTCTTTTTTTGATCTCTCTGTATTCTAACGCTAGTTTAAGCCTATCATGATAGCCATTTTCATCTTTTCTTTCTTTCCTGTCTTTTCTATGACCACCTTTTGTTTTATTCATGAATATTGTCCCTGATGTCACCCCACAACTGATCTTATCCTTAATCATTAATGTTAAATGCATCAAATCTGTTCCTGAGATGGCTTATAAATTCAGTAATAGAGCAAGACGGTTGATGTTGGAATTGATAGAATTCAGTAGACATAGGAGCATGGAGGCTCTGTTGGACCTTGGAGGTATTGATTTTACATTGTAGGTGTTGCTGATGCAGAGTTTTTCTTTTCGTGAAATTAAAAGGGTTCAAAGTAGGCAAAACCATATTGCTCCCATTCTTTTTAAAAACTCACTAAAAAAAAACCCAAAAAAAACCCACCCACAACATTTTTAAGGCCTTAATAATATTTAACGACCAAAGAATACTCCTAAGGTAAAAAAAAATCTATGAAATTCTATTAATATTTCTATTTCAGGGGACAGTTCTTTATATGTCACATTGAATTTTCTTCATATTTTCCCTCAACCTTTTCAGTTTCACTTCCCAACTCTTCCATAATATTGCCAGGTTATTTTTGCTTGAACTGACTCTTTTTCTATTAGGTAACTTTCCCCACTTATTATTTTTTTTTTAGGAGTGTGATCTTTGAAACTTATTTAAGTCTCACCTGTTCTCCAAAATTAAGTTCAGGCTCCATAAATACTTTATTTCCTCTTGTGTAAGTTCTCTTGCTTAAGAAATTTAAGTTGTTAACAGTTTCAGCTTGCTCAGCTCCACAGTCAACAGTTTTGACATGAGCAGTCAGGAAATCAAAAGATGAATTGCATCGGGAAAATCTGCTGTCCTGGACTCCTCCAGAGTACTGAGAAGCAACAGTGTCAGTCTAGAAATTAAGGTGCTCCTGACCCTGGCCATCGTCTTTGCAATTACTTGCTATGCCTCAGAGAGCTAGAAAATGACTAAGGATGACAGAAGAAGATTCGATGCCTTTGAGTTGTAGTGCTAGAAAAGAATCTTGAACATACCATGGACCACCAAGAAAATAAACAGGTCTGTCCTGCAGAGGGTGAAACAAGTTTCTCCTCGGAGGCAAGGATTTTGAAGCTCCATAACAACAACAACAACAACATGGTGTAATATATTTGGGCACGTGACCAAGAGAAACCCTTTTTAAAAAAATCATCATGCTTGGAAGGATGGAAGGACAATGCTGGAGAGGAAGACACTAAGATGGATTGATACAATAGCTGGTGTAATGGGGAAAGATGTGACAAGAATCAGTGAGTCTGGCTCAGTATAGGGCAGGCTTTAGAGCTGTTGTACATAGGGACACTGTGAGTCACAGGGAACTCCACAGCACTCCACTATGTCCTGCGTTTCATAGTCAGAGTTTAAATGTTACTTGTTTTGTCATGCGATCGAATTTTGCAAAATCAATGACTTATTCATAGCAGATACATTTTTTAAGAGGCATAAACGCAGGTTATATACCTGGATTTCACCTGATGGTATGCATAGGAATCAGAT